TTTTTTAATTAAATCCTTGTATAAAGTGTATCATCCGTATTTTCAGGTTTTTATTGGTTGTGTTTGAGGTGCAAGGTTATTGATGTTTAGTTGCAAGGTTAGTTGTCTATCGTTGTAGGTTTGTTGTCTATCGTTGGTAGGTTAGTTGTCTGTGTTGTTTTGTTATTTTTCTGATGCTGCTAGGTTAGTTATGTATCTCTGCAAGGTTAGTTTTATCATGTTGCAGTTAGCTGTCTGTTAGTGCTAGGTTAGTTGTCTGTAACTGCTAGGATAGTTGTCTTTCAGTGCTAGTTTACATATCTCTGCTAGGTTAGTTCTCTTTTTTTGCTAGGTTAGTTGTCTGTAACTGCTAGGATAGTTGTCTTTCAGTGCTAGGTTATATATCTCTGCTAGGTTAGTTATCTTTTTGTTGCTAGGTTAGTTGTCCGTAACTGCTAGGATAGTTGTCTTTCAGTGCTAGGTTACATATCTCTGCTAGGTTAGTTCTCTTTTTTTGCTAGTTTAGTTGTCTGTAACTGCTAGGATAGTTATCTTTCAGTGCTAGGTTACATATCTCTGCTAGGTTAGTTATATATCTCTTTTTTTGCTAGGTTAGTTGTCTTATACTGCTAGGTTAGTTATCTGTAGCTGTATGATAGTTGTCTTCTACTGCTAGGTTTAGTTTTATCATGTTGCAATGCAAGGTTAGTTTTATTGCAATGATAGTTGTATATCTGTGCAATGTTAGTTGTATATATCTGCAAGGTTAGTTATATATCTCTTTTTTTGCTAGGTTAGTTGTCTTATACTGCTAGGTTAGTTATCTATAGCTGATATGATAGTTGTCTTCTACTGCTAGGTTTAGTTTTAGCATTTTGCAATGCAAGGTTAGTTTTATTGTAATGATAGTTGTATATCTGTGCGATGTTAGTTGTATATATCTACAAGGTTAATTATATATCTCTGCAATGTTAGTTTTATCATGCTGCAATGTTAGTTGTATATATCTGCAAGTTTAGTTATATAACTCTGCAAGGTTAGTTTTATCATTTTGCAATGTTAGTTGTATATCTCTGCAAGGTTAGTTTTTTTCATGCTGCAATGATAGTTGTATCTCTCTCCAGTGTTAGTTGTATATCTCTGCAAGGTTAGTTTTTTTCATGCTGCAATGATATTTATATATCTCTGCAATGTTAGATGTATATATCTGCAAGGTTAGTTTTATCATGTTGCAATGTTAGTTGTATGTTGTTGCTAGGCTAGCTGTCTGTTGGTGCTAGGTTAGTTTTATGAAGTTGCAATGATAGTTATATGTTATTTTCTATTGCTAGGTTAGTTATCTTATATTGCTAGGTTAGTTTTATATCTCTGCAAGGTTGGTTTTCTGATTCTGCAATATTTGTTGTAAGTTTATTTATATCTATTTGACCTTTTTTTTTCCTTTTTTGTAACTCAGTTTAATTTGAAGAAATCGATATGGAGTCTGGTGATAAGATTTTTTTGCTGACTGATACACCTCGTAATACATCTCGTAAATGGCGACAGCCTGATGATAAAGTTTCTCTCCCAAAGCTTTCAACACGGTCTTCTCCCAAAGCTTTGGTTGATTCCATTGCTAAATTAAATGATGAGCAGAAAAGAGCTGTGGAGAAGATGGGTTTTGGATACTTGCTGCATCTCAAGATTAGGGAGATTCCAAGCAATTTATCTTTTTGGCTGGTGGATAATTTTGACCCACTTAGCTCTGTGTTGCGTTTTTGTGATGGCAACATCCACATTGAAACTGTTGATGTGGAGAAAGTTGTGATAAGCCTATTGAATTGAAGACAAAATCTGAGAGTGTTGATCTGTTGGATAAGTGAAGGAGCCAGTTTCTAGCATCTTCTGAGAGAATCACTCCTGAAGAAGCGAGCAAAAAAAATGTTGGATTGTAAGTTTGAGGATGGTGGTGAAATGTTCTGCTGCAATTTTGCTGCTTTGGTTGATGCTCTTATAATCGGTTCCATCAATTCTGGTGGTTATGTCAACCCTCTGTTTTTGATGTCGGTTACTGACATAACATGTGTGACGGATTTGAATTGGGCTGACTATACTCTTCAGAGTTTGATTGTGAAAACACTGAAAAGGGATCACGACAAGATGACTAGTTTCAATGGGCCTCTGCTTTTCCTTGTTGTAAGAATGTGTTTTTATATTACTTTTTGAACAATGTATATTCAATGTTTATATATATATATATGTATTTCATAATGCAGGTTTTATATGTTGATCGTCTAGTCTTTATATCGCGTTTCAAGGAGTCTGTCGTCTTTTATTGGCTGGAACTGCGAATTGTTGCGCAAGAGATCCATAGCTGAGGTGAAAAAGGGTGGTTTCGGTCGAGGTTTTGTGGATGATCGCATGGAACTCTTGGCGCTACAACAACAACAACAATTATTAGAGACATTAAAATTGAAACAAAAGAAATTTTCTGATGCTGATGTTGTTCAGGTTTTTATTTTGCTTATTGCTTATTTAGTTTTTTTAATTCTGCTAATGCTAGGTTAGTTATGTGTCTTTGTTAGGTTAGTTTTATCATGTTGCAGTTTTAGTTGTATGTTGTTGCTAGGTTAGCTGTGTGCTAGTGTTTGGTTAGTTGTCTGTTGATGCTAGGTTTTTTTTTTTTTTTTTTTTTTTTTTT